TGGCCCAGCAGCCCCTCTCCCACCCTGGCGCCTGCCAGTGGAGCTGGGTTGCCCAGCCACTGTTCGCCTGGCTGGGACTCTGGCAGGACCACCACAAAGCCCCTGATCCTGCTACCCCAGCAGTATTTCTCTTCCTGGGCAGATTTGTCCTCCTCCTGAGGAGAAGGCTGCTTGCCACGCTACAGGGCCACTCAAAGGGGTCAGGAGCCCTTGGGGTCGCTTCCCTTGCAGCTTTTCTTGCTTCCCCCAACCTGGAGCCCTCCATCAGTCCAGACTAGTCAGGAGGGGCTGATCTGGAGGGACTCCCTGGCTTCTCTCTGGGCGTCCCCATCCAAAGGGGCTCTTCTTCGCCTCACTCCAGTGGTGGGGATGGGGTTGCCTCCAGGTAGAGATGTGCAAGAGAGCCCCTGCCTGGCCCTTCAGCGTAGCTCGTCTTCTCCCACAGACTGTCCTGGCACATGCGAGCGGCAGGGAGGCCCAGGTGCTGTGGGTGAACGCCGAAGGCTGCTTCCTCTCTGTGGGCTCCAACCAGGTGTGGACTCTGTCCTGTGGGGCTTGGGGGGGCTTGGGAGGGGGAGGAATCCTTTCTGGCAGGTGGGGGGCCCTTCTCTGAGCCCTTCAGAAAGGAATCTCGCCGCAAGTGCCGGCAGGGTCCTTTGCGTTGGGGAGAGGTGGGCCTCTCCGAGGCAGCCCTCCACAGCCTCATCTCCTTCCAGATGACGGAACGGGAAGTCTGGCTTTGGGACATGCGCCAACCGAGTGGCACGCTGGCTTCCATCACTCTGGGTGCATCCCCCAGGTAAGGTGGCGGCGGCAGTTTCTGGTGTGGACCGTGGTGGAGGGGCGCAGTAGCTGGGGGAAGAAAAGCAGGGGTGGGAGTTGCTGGACCCAGGGGTGCCGCCCTTTGAGCTTGCCACGCGGGGGCATGAGTTGTTTGGCCTCGCGTTCAGATGGTGGGCCTAGAGGCTGTTGGCAATGAGATGGGCACTGCTCCTTCAAGCAGCCTGGCCCGAGCTGCCACATTTCTGGGGCCACCAGCCGCTGCGCTCACACAGATTGTCTCACTGGGGGAGGGTGCTGCCGGGGCTGCAGGAGAAGGCCTCCCTCAAAGCAGCCAGCTAGAGGGGGGCCCGCCTGCTCCAGGATGAAATTGGGAAATGTGCACGATGTGGGTGGAAGCATGATGCGAGCTTTGCAACCTGCCATTCTGAAAACTAGCCACCTCTGGCGAGCTAAGGTCACCTCCGGGTCACCAGACCGGGGAAACGGTCGGCCTGTGTTTTCCTCCAGATCTTCAGGTCGTCCAAGTGGCTTTCTGTAGGCGAGTTTGTCTTCGGCGTCTTTGTCGCTTCTGGGGTGGCGTTTGCTCTTCAGGGCGTCCCTCTGAGGGCTCAGGTGGGGGGAGGAAGGCGCCGCCTCCTGGCAGCGCCTGGTCCACGAGACGGCTGCAAACGTGGCGCACAGTCAAGCGATTGTTTTGGCCGCAGGCCGGCAGCCCTGCTGAGGAATGCACTCGGCTGGCGGTGCCGGCTTTTCCCCCCCCCCCCCCGGCCGGGGG